CATGCATGATGGCCAAAGAGGCAAGCTTGTACAAGCTTAATGAATGCACAGATAAGACTCAAAGGGCCACTACCCTATCATGCATGATCAAGGGTGACGACGACCAAGAAATGTGACACGTTTCATCACTTTGAGTATGAAACATCCCCCATTTCTTGTGTTTGGATTAACGTCCGATCCAAACACATGCAATGCCACACAAATGCTTATCTTGCACAAGTTTTACTTTGCTCATTTTATTTACACATTTTAGCATTACCAAGCCATTCTTTAACTAGTTAAGTCCAATGTGAAAGTCCTCAAATGAGAGAGGGGTCAACCAAATGATGGTTTAAGACATGAGAGAAATCATGTCTTTAGCTAGGAGGAACCCTCATAAGAGGGTTAAAGCCATTGAGCACAAGCTCTATCTCAAGCTTAAACACAATCATAAGGTTAACCAACCCTTAAAACAAATAGAAAAATGAAGAAATGAGGGAGGTTGCAGACTTTTTGATGCTGAAATGGCATGCTAAAGACCTTAAATCATTCAAGCAACACATGCAAGACATGTTCAAAAGCTAAAAGCATGATACTAGTGAAGAGCATTACACTAGAGGCATGCAATATCAAGCTTAAATGACCAAACCAGCTCTGGACAGAGCTTAAACATGCCAAAACAGTGGCTAAATCATGCTGGAATTGAAGCACAAAAAGCTATAAAAACATGCTCATGTGTTGGCTCGCAAGCTAGGCTCAAAACACGGCTCTCAAAAGTAATGAAAGAGTGAAGTCTATGACAGTGTGACAAGGCTATATGCACTGAAATCATGTATAAAATGATGCTATATCATGCAATCAACACATGCACAACATGTTAGAGACCTTAAAACACAAAGCTAGTGAAGGCATTTGCACTATAGCTATACAAGACAAAGCTCATATGATCAAAGCAGCCCAAAACAGAGCTAAATCATGCCAAAATAATAGCAAAAACATGCTTAGATCAAGTTACAAAATGGTAGAAAAACATGCTTATATGTTAGGTCATCTACACATACAAACAAGACACAAGGAGGGGAGGCCACCCCCTCCTATTTTGGACCTCAAAACATACTTTTTGCCACTGAAATTCTCCTGGAATTCAATGGTTAAAAGGCTAAAAAAAGTTGTTTTAAAAGCTTTGAAAAAGAGCACAACACTTTAGCAAACAAGCTACAAAAGATTATGGACCACCCTTAACTCCAAAACATACCTCAAACTACTATTTTAAATCATAAAAACAGAGTTTTTTAGAGGTTAAAACCAGTCTCAAAATAGCATGCAAAGGTGGCTAAACAACTCACTAAAATAAAGCTTAAAAAAGGTAAGCCTTTACCTTTGAAGCATAGCACAAAAACAGGTGCAAGTCTGAGCTATAACCAATTTCGGGAGCTCCAAATAGGCCTCCAAGAACCTCAGCTCCAAGATGAAGGTACTTGGTTAAGGGTCTTAGTGCAAAAATGTAGAGAAAACTCACTTTCAAGCACAAAATAGGGAGTGAGAGAAAGAATTCTAGAGAGAGGCAGAAATTTTGCTCACAAAATTTTTGTAACCTCCAAAATGGAGGAGAGACCTCCCTTTATATAAAAATGCAAGCCAAAAGCTTGCTTCCATCCCTCCATACACGTGTATGGAGAAGGCTTTCAGTGATCAACAGTTGGTACAGCTGGCACATAAAATATCTGAAAAATGAGAAAATTGGCCGTCGGCCACTTTAGGTGGCCAGCTAGCCACCTCCCCTAGCCGACCGACCACATCAAGTAGCCGTCAAGGAGGAAAAGTGGCCGACAAGGCCTTTCCCCCCCTCCAGGCAAGAGGCACAAATGTTTGGCCAAAAAACAAGGCCAAAACACAGAGGGTTTAGAGGCTCAAAGACAAGGCATTCAGTCGAGAACTTTGGGCACTCAAAACGAGTACAAACATGCACAATTATCGAGTGCACAAACGATGACGTCTGAGTCTTAAGGTCGGTCAAAAATTAGGTGTCTACAGGGACACGACGGGGGCACGGCAGGGACATGTGTGTCCATATCGGAACAAGAATCGAACTCAAAACAGAAGAGAGAGAGAGAGAGAGGGGGGCTCGTCAGGCATACTTGGAAGCTCTTCGCTAGTGAGTCGTCGGTGGTCAGTGGTTGGTCTCTGATTGTCTTCTTCGTCGCTCTCAGTCTCTCTATCTCTTTTAGAGTCTCTCTCTCTCTCTTCTCTTTCGTCTATCTCTCCTCTTTCAATCGATCTCAATATCTCTCGTCTCTCGCTCTGTCTCGTCTCTCTCTACTCTCTTCTCTCTTGTCACCTCTCGTATCTTTGTCTTCTCTCTCAGCTATCTCATTTCTCTCTCTTTTTTGTTGATCAAATATTTATATTTATATTTATATATATATATATAGATTATATTTTAATTTATATATATTATATCTCTTCTCTTTGTCTTCTTTCTTCTTTATTTATTATTTATTTTATGATTAGATATATATATATATATATTGTATATTGTATATTTTAATTTAATTTTTTCTTTATATAATGTTTACAATATATAGAACATATGTTTATAATGTTTAAATGTAATGATCTTTATATACACATTAAATTAATATTAGTTTTTATTAATTTTGATTATTTGGTAATATAAAATTAATCTACATAGCAAATAAGTAACATATATATTTTAAAAAATAATAATAATTTGCCGTGTCTCCCATCATGTCCGTATCCTCATTTTTTTGAAATTGCCGTGTCTCGTGTCCATATCTGTATTTATGTCTGTGTACGTATCCGTACTTCATAGGTTGCAGTCAATGAAGCAGCCTTTAGTCTTGGTGTTGCATGGCTTGAACTGGGGGCATTGTTGGGGCCAAGTAATTTCAAGGCCTAAACACGTTGTACCCTCTTCATCGCAGGAGAAAGATTGAGGGAACTGCTTCCCTGCAACAGCATCAGGTGGTGGAGCGCCAACTCCTCCGACTGGTGGTGATGGGTTGCCGTAGGGATCAGCTCTGCACTTTGCCAAAAACAAGGAAACAACAGCCAAAAAGAGGAAGAGAAATGAAGTGGCAGTGCTCATGGCTTTACCAAAGAACTCTCAGACAGCCCTTAAACTGTGTCCTAAGTAACTTAGAAGTCACTACTACCGAACTTGGTTGATTTATAGTTTTGATGTTTAGAATACAAGTTAGATCTTCCAGAGAATTGAACTGTAATATGATATAAACCAGTCAACTACTAATTAATTCTTTTATTTATTTTTATTTTCTTTTTCTTTTTTTTTAATCATAGGAAGCTGTGGATAGAATCATCTCCGCCACTCTTCATGTTTCTCGTCATGTGCATGCACTCTATCTCTCTCTCTCTCTCTCAGACACACACAAACAGTTGCATTGATTTATGTGAGAGAGCAGAGCAGTGACTACTGTTTTTGCGATAAAATAGAACCGGCCATGCACGGTTCCATCATGAACTCCAACCCCGGCGATTGATGCGGAATGAAATTGATATTGAAATAGCAGGGGAAGGGTTATCAGGGGGAGTTTAAAACTTTTACCGCTAGTTTGGATTTAAGGGGTTTTAGTGAGAAGAAATGACGAGAACCGACAAGAAATGATGGAAAGAAAAAACTTAAATTCATGTTTTGTTTTTTGCCAAAATTCTTAAGGTTTGCTGAGAAACAAAAAGATGATGTATATAAAATTTTGTCTACATAGATAACAAAGAGAATAAAAGTACGCGGGTGACCATTTTATTCTGTTTATCCAAATAAAAGTAGTAAAAAGACTACAATCAATTCCTTTTGCTTCACACTTCGGTTCCACCGTCTTCTCATTTATTTTCTCGCCTAATTTCAATAGTAGATCTTATCCAAAAACCTAGTTTATGGCCCAACTTTCATTGCCACGCTTCAAAATCAAAAGCTAAGAGCCTAAGAGCATGCGACAGAGAATGATACAAAAAATCAAACGCTAAGAGCACAAGACAGAGAATGATTCAAGGAAGGGTACATATACGGAGAACACGAGGTTCTAAGTTAAAATCCTTACGAAACCTTGAAAATCTTAATGCCATAATTTTTTCAAATCTTCCTAGCCATTATCCTACTGCAAAAATTCTTGCTAAGAACACCCATGTATTCCACCTAGAAGATAATGAGTTGCTCCTACAGCACATCCCATGTATAATGCTTAACCACGTCTGCTTAATAGAAACATTAAACTAACCGTCCGTACAGTCTGAAGCATCCAAGAAAGAAAAGCCTGATTATCTTGTGGCTACTAGTCCCAATCTGAAGTATCCAAGAAAGAAAAGCCTGATTATCTTGTGGCTACTAGTCCCAGTAAATTTGGATTTAAATAAGCATCAGGAACAAGAAAGAGGAAAAAAAGCACAAAGCTGTTGAGGATGGGCTGCAAATATTGACCATTATATATTGGGAAAGCAGAACTCTATTCCTATTCTAAACAAATTCCTGCTAATCTTAACCATCAAACTTAATACTGAAAAAACATATATAAATAATCCAGCAACTGAAATAGCTTTAGGAGAAGATTAGTTAATCTAGGGAACTGAGGACCCTAGAGAATGTGAGACCAAGGAAGGAAAGAAGAGCCCACTTCCAAAAAGAAGAGCCCACTTCCAATGAGTAAAGTCCTTAACACCAAAATATAAAAATTAAAAAAATAAACAAATTCAAGCATCTTCACAGTTATAATCAATTGATGAGAACCATCTCACCTGAAATCAGCCTATTATAGTCACCCTCTAGGCCTTGGCCAAACAAAGGTGAGTAGCTAAATGTTAATGGTAACCAAAGACTGCCATTGTTGCCCATTCAACTATGTGCACAATCCCAATCCATTAACAGATGATCCCTGCAACATGCTCAAGTCTAAACAGAGACATAATCACTTTCCCAATTCAAACCTGATAGCACCCATCATGTATGCTCAAACCACAGCAAATTATGAAACATACTCCCAAAATCATACTGTAAAACTAATGAAATTTGCAAAACTAGAGAAAATTAGAGGTAATCTATGCCATATATTGCTACATATGGTTTAAAACATAAACAAAGGTCTTAACTGTGAAGTTTAGAAAAAGAAACACTCCACCCATTTTACTTTAGTATCATATAGCTGTCTATGCAGAGCGCAACTCCTTTTATGTGTAGTTAAAACATAATAACTAAAGACAAACCAACCACAGATACTTGGATAACCTTGATTGTGACGAAACCAACAGACATCATCACTTCTGATCTGACGAATGAGGTCTCTGAAAAGTCTTTGAAGAGACATTTGTTGGGGCACCAGATTCGAATGATCCAGGAGTTAGTGCTTTGACACCATACACCATCTCTGCCGGGTAGGGATGATCCACTGAATTTCCAATTGTTGAAATGAGCGGTGAGCTGTCAATTGACTGGACAATAGTAGGGGGGACATATGTGCTAAAATCAGGTTCGGTAGAAGGTGCTGGTTTCCCACGTCTACTGGAGGACCCGCTTGTAGCAGTTCCATCTGTTTGCCCGGTGATTGGTCCTTGTGAAGTTGATGAGTCTCCTCCACCAACGGTGGTTATGTCATGGATGCTTGATCGTCTCCTTCCTTTGTTTGCAGAATTTAGGCGAATGAAATATTTCTGTGCATGACTGGCTACTTGTGTAGGTGTTCTAGATACCACAAAATGCCGGGATATGCTTCTCCAATCACCTTTTCCATACTTCTCCAAGCCCAAAAGAAATAGCCTATTTCATAGAGAGAGAGAGAGAGAGAGAGAGAGAGATGAAACTTCTGTGTCAACCATCTAATTTCAAAAGTAACAGAGTTCTGTTTCTGAAATATTATTTGCCAATTTTTCGATCATAAACTAAATGCTAAATGTCGTTTCATCTGTGAAGTGTTATGCATTACAATATAGTACTTGTCTACATTCTACCTGACAAATGCAAGAATCCGAAGACCCAAATGAAAATGTGTGAACAGCATCAATATAAATAGACACAATGTCTAGTAGTAATAAGCACCATAGATATGGATTGCAAGTGCAACCTGTGAAGTTTGAAAATATACTAAGAGAACCCACATTTGATCAATAAGAATGTATAAATACCCCCAAAATTCTATGAAGTATACATGAAGATATGGAGGAAAGCCAAAAGGAAAAGGTGAGGTATGAATACATGTTAAAATGAAGCAATGGTGCTAGGTAACATAGACAAGGACTACAAAATTCGAATATGACATAAATTCTCAATAGCACATGGCAGAAATTATAAGTACCAAAATTCTGTCCATAGTTGAGCTTAGGTCTCCCGAAGTACCAAAAAGAAAAAGTCAGTCCAAAGTTGATATAGATGGTCAACCAAAGACAAACGGCTACATACAATAAAAGTCAATGAATCTAGTTGTACAAGAAATTGATATTATTCAAGTTAGAGGCACCAAAATGAAGATAATTCTAACAAGAGCACAATTTCAGATAATGGAAAAATGCATAATTCACAAAGGATTTTAAAGAGGATGTGAATAAAGATACTGGAGAGCTGGATACAAAGCATTCACGTTGTTAACTGAAGTAGCAGGGACTAAACTCTTTGATACCAATTAAAAGCAAGCCCTTTCATATTTCCAGCACTTCTATAAAGACTTTGGGTTTAGTTGTGCTGTGAAATACAATAGGGATGGTTGGGAAAAGATAAAGAATAGTCTTAGGAATAGATTTAAATTTTTTAAGTGTCTTTTGATCCTAAAGCAAAAAAGAAAAGTTATCTATTGTAGGGTTGCATCAAGGTTTCTGTAAGAATGTGGAGAAGCAACTCACCATCACCAAACACATTAAAGACACCATTCCTAATAGTAAAAATAAACAGTATTATGTCAACAATTCCCTCCTTGTACCAAAGAAGGCAGAGGGGAAGGTCAAACATACTAACTGCCCAACTTTGCCGATCAGCTGTAGCCTGATTGCATACAGATGAGAGTTGGGTATTCACAGGAAGGTGATCCATCAAATGTTGGAGCAGTATTGTTTTTACATATTATTACTCTAAAAGACTAAACTAAGAAGCATGGATGCAAACATGACACCATACAGACACAATAACACAACAGTTTTAAAAAAATCTTGACAGACACACAGGGTCACAAAGACAAATAGTATAATATAAAATATATACACAAAAATAATTACAATGGGGCAATCTAGAGCGTGAAGCTCCCGCTAAAGCATGGTCGGGGGGAGGGCAAATTGTATGTAGCCTTACCCGATTACCTCTATTTCTGGAGAGACTGTTTTCGTGGCTCAGAAGCCTAAAGCATATATATATATATATATAAGTGTGAATAGAAGGTTCCAATATAACAATTTTAAAAAGTTATGTTCCTAAAAAATTGGAAGCTTAATGCTTTAGGGTTCATAAAAATAAAAATCCTAAAAGAGAATGGATTAATTGGTATTAATCCTTATACTTTGATTTTAATCACTGTCCTTGAGTTGTTTTCTTCAAACATCCAAGATTCATGTAATGTGTCTAAGCAATAGATAAACATCTCCCCCAAGTGTTTGAAACGTGCCAAGTTCTAATTTTTTTAATTAAATTAAATTAAAAATAAAAATAAAAAATATGACAAGTTTTGACATGAATACGACACTTAGTTCTAAATGTTTGTGCTTGTTAAACTTCTATCTCCCCATCTAATACATGCGGTCATGCACTAATGCATTAATGGTATCCATTAGTCAATGACCTTCATGGTTGTCTTTTCTCTAATTTGCCTAATAATGTCAACTTCTTCATCACATCATCATTTTTTTATTTTCTGTTGCTTTAATAAAAGATCTAGCACCAAATCCTACATATTAAGTAAGATGCTTACATGTTAAGTCATAAATCTTGCACTAAGAAAGTATGTATCAACAGTTAATGTCAGAGTTTGGATGTGATTGATACCTTTCAAGACTCCAATCAACTAGTGGTTTCATGATCTTTAAAAAAGATCATAATACATTAGAACACCAATCTCATCAAAAGTAGGTGCAATACTGAAAATTTGTCTCTCTCCGTTTGATTAGAAAGAAACCCTAACCCGGTGAAGAAAGTTTCTTTTTGTCCGTACATAAGAATTTAGTAGAAACAAGCCCATCAAACATCAGTGAGAAAACTAAGATCAAAACATGGTGCAAGCACCATTTTATTCTATCATACTAGAGCCTTGTTGGCAAGCACTTGGTTCTCTAATTTTAGCAACCTTTTTTATTCCCCATGTTGTATAATGAAATCAAGGTATGCAAATAAATTAGTGCAGTAATTACTGAGAAAAAAATTAATGCAACAATCAGTCAAATCCTAAAATGATAACTTCCAATGCCTCATACCCATGCAGCATAAATAAGATTTTAACTGTATTCTAGAAGATGATACCTTGATCTTTGATTTTTTTTTTTTTCCCTGTTAATTTGTTTAGATCATTGACTGCATGTAGGACACCATGTGCCTGTCATTCACTGTCCATCTCAAGTATTTAGCAAGCAACAAAAAACAGGTTTTCGTTAAGGAAAATCCATTAAAAGTCAGTAGTTGAAATGCAAGATTTCAATAGGAAGAAAGAAAGAAATCCCTTTTCATTAAATCTCAAGAAAATTGGGGACCAAATAATCAGATCATTCATAAGGTATTAGAGTTACGAAAAGCAAACATAGCTTGATAAAAAGCTCCTTAACATAATCTTCTAGAAAATTCACACAATATGTAGCTAAAGGTTTACCTATGTTCCTCTTCCGACCAAGCTATTCCCCTCCGCCGTTCTTGATCTGATCTTGATGACTTCCCTCCATGGCAGGAATCGCTTTGTATTTGCCCAAAATTGCCTCCACGACTTGTAGAATCAACGTAGTGAGGCAAAGGGACATAACCTGACTCAATTGCGTTGATATCTTCAACTAAAATCTGATAATGGTGTTTGATCTCCTCAATTGTTTTCCCAGGAACCATTGCTGCAATCTTCTCCCATCGGTCACTGGAATCCTCAGAATAGATTGCCAGAGCATTCTCAAATGCCTTATCTTGCTCTCTAGTCCAAGAGGAACCATAGCATGTCTGGCTAGTGCTCATCCTACAGTTTGGATCTGCTTGAAAGGGGTCTAATTGACAAGTGAAAATTTGCGAGAGAGATCAGAGAAGGGAAACATGAAGCTCACAAGTCTATTAAAATTTCACACCAGAGTCATAAATATATAGTCATGTCACCGACAACGGCTTTACTTTCTAGAGTTTTTCCTTTGGTAGGATGGACACCTGTTGCAATGGCAAAATATGTTCTATATCAATTCAACAGCTCAGGATGTCAATTAATAAGGTGAAGAATGGAGATAACAACTGGCTAGCTGGCATACCGGAACAACAAAACCAGATATACAACAAATTTTCAAGGATGCTAAAGTGAAAAGCAGCTGTATCAGACTATAGCGGTGAACCAAGAATGTCCGCAAGAAGCCAAGGAACCTGCAGAACAAACAACCATCATAAAAACATATTGAAGATCAAGAGCACACAAAGAAACAAAATTGTTGGGATATAGAGATGTATCGGTGGAAATGATAACACAATTTCTTGGACAATGAGAAATATCTGACTACCTAGAAAAGAAAGCGGTGAAATAAAACCTAAATTATAGAAATAGTGAATGATGAATTGAGCAAGAAGAAAATGAGGGTTTTGGACAGCAAATTTCAAGAGCTAATAATGGTCACATGGCTATTCAACTTAGCACTTCATATTGCAATGAAGGAAAATTACCAAATAAAAGTGAGATTGGTAAGAACCAAGTATAAACTCTCTAAAGAACAATATAACAGTCCAAAGTTGCCAGGAAAAAAAGCAAGGTCTTGCGCTCTTAGTTATAAAAGACAATCATGGTAATTCCCAAATTGAGGCAAAAATAGCCTTAAATGCAAAGTAGGACAGCTAAGGCTGACGCAAATTGTCTTCATATACAAACCAATTTCCTTTTAAAACAAGCCTTACTAACCCCATCAATATTAGATGGACATGCTTGCGACCATGCCAGTGTTTGGGAGATAGTATTTATTTGTTAGATTCATCTAATCCCATAGTTTTTGACACAAGTGTTGCAAATTCTTAAATGGACAATCATAGTTTCCTTTTCTCCTTCTATATCCAAGGACAAAAGATTTGTTATTGAAATGATATAGCATGTATGACATGTATACTAGCCTTATTATGATATGCCCATGTATCATATCATATTCTCAGCAAAGTGCCTACTGCACTGGGCAACATATAGCGAACAAGGGGAAGCAAACTGCAAAAAATTGTGATTTAACTGTCGACATAATTTAATGAGTTACCTTTCAATTGCCCAACCACTGACACAAAATGTCTATAATGCTTGCTTCAAAATTCATTAAATAAATAATGAAAAGAATGGAAAAAATTATTTGGCTTACCAATCAATGAAGTAGAGGCCATGTATATATAATATATCCATGATACAATTTAGGAAACAATATACACAAGGCAAAATTCTTATAATCAAAATAATTTCTATTCTAATTTCCATATTCAAACATAATATTTTGATTCCTATATTCAACACTCCCTCTCAAGTTGGCGTGAAGATATTCAACAAACGCAGCTTGTCAATGGAAGACTAGAGCAAAGTTTGTCCCATAGATTTTGTAAACATATCCGCCAACTGCTAAGAAGAAGAGACAAAGGATGGACGCACAATGCCAGTCCAAACCTTTTCTCGAATGAAATGTATGTCAACCTTGATATGCTTGGTACGCTCATGAAGCACAGAATCAGAGGATAACATAATGGTAGATTTGTTATCACAAAATAAAGAGAGAGGAACAGTATTCTCAAAACCCAACACTATCAGAATAGAGCGAATCCAAAGAATCTCACTTGTCCTATCTACCATAGTCCGATACTCAGCCTCTGCAGAAGACCTAGAAACAACCGCATGTTTTTTACTTTTCCATGAGATAAGATGATCATTATAGAAAGTACAGAAACTAGAAGTGGAACGCCGATCAGTCATAGGTCCTACATAGTCGGCATCAATGAAATAGGCGAGCCCAAATTGGAGACCAGCGGTAAAGAACAATCTCAAGCCAGGAGAAGTCTTCAAATATCTCAAAATATGATGAACCGTTAAGGTACTCTTTATGAGGTGTATGCATGAACTAACTCACAACACTAATTGAAAATGTCAAGTCACGTCTAGTGTTGGTGAAATAAATGAGGCGTCCAACAAGACACTGATACATGCTTGGGTCATCCAGTAACTCACCAGACTCTAATGTGAGTTTGACATTAGGATCCATAGGAGTAGAAACAGGTTTACACCCTAACATACCAGTATCCTGAAGCAAGTCAAGGGTGTACTTTCTTTGAAATAAGGAGATCCCCTCCCTCGAGCGAGCCACCTTAATTCCCAGAAAATATTTGAGACATTCCAGATCCGTAATAGTAAAAGTTTGACCTAAGTCTTTCTTTACTTGACCAATGCCAACAGAGTCATCACCCTATGAGAATAATATCATTCACATAAACTAACAAGCCTATACATTGACCTGTAGAATTCTGGCGAATGAAACAAGTGTGATCAAAGTGGCATTGAACAGAACCCATAGATATAATAACAGAACTAAAGCAACCAAACCATATTCGTGGAGACTGTTTCAGACCATACAAGGATTTGCGTGACCGGAACACTTTTCCCGAATACTCCCCCTCAGCCAGAAAACCGAGTAAAGGAGCCATGTAAATCGTCTCAAGAAGATCCCCATGGAGAAATGCCTTCTTGACATCAAGCTGATGAAGAGACTGAGAATGATATGCTGCAAGGGAGATAGGGAGACATATAGAGGTAAGTTTTGCGACAGGGGCAAAAGTGGTACCAAAATTCTTGCTAGGAATCTGTGTGAAATCTTTGGTCGCCAAATTGGCTTTGTAACGGTCAACTGAGCCATCAGCTAGGTACTTTATGGTGAACACCCATTTGTAACCAACCGTGCTTTCCCCAAGAGGTAAAGGTACAAGATCCCAAGTGTGATTCTGTTCTAAGGACGCCATATTAGTCTACATAGCTGCTACCCATTTGGGGTTCTGAAAGGCCTCAGTCACAGAACAAGGAATGGACTCCGACTCAAGCTTGCCAAGAAAAGAACGGTAAGAATGGGAAACCCTGTCATAGAAAAGATACTGAAAAATAAGATGATTAGTACTACTCAAATAACTTAAACGATTTGGAGGATGTCGATCCCAATGTGGGTTACGATGAGGAGGTGAAGGAGGTAAAGGAGAAGAGTTACCTGACCCAGAGATCAGAAAGGCAGCAGAGGGGGCTGAGGCTATGGGCGACGGGAGTATATTTGCAATTGGGGAAGAGGTGAAGGTTGAGAAGGAGGAAGGGGGACAACCTTATTCTCAACCTCGTCCAAAATGGTTATCAGGTGAACCGTGGAAGTAACAGGAGGAGAAGCCTGTAAAGAAGGATTAGTACCAAAGAAAGAAAGATCCTCACAAAACATGACATCTAAAGTGCAGTGAAAGTGACAAGACACAGGATCATAACACATATACCCTTTTTACATGGAAGAGTACCCTAAGATACAACGAATAAATTTGTCATCTAACTTTGTGCGAGTGGAACTTTGATTTTGAACAAAATAGGTACACCTAAAGACATAAGGTAAGAAGAGTGGAAACAGAATGGTAGCGGGCGTAAGGATATGAAACGGAGTAAGACCATGCAACACACGACTAGGGGTCCTATTAATAAGGTAAACAACAGTAAGGACAATCATATGCCAATAAGACTTGGGAACACCCATACCCCAAGAAGACACCGGACAATAGACATAATATGACGATTTTTGCGTTCAGCAACACCATTTTGTTCGGGGGTCCGAGGACAAGTAAGTTGTTGAAGAATACCGGTTTGATTAGATGAGAGAACAAAATACATTAGAAATATATTCCCCACCATTATCAAAACAGATAGCCTAACAACTGTATGAAACTGAGTTTTCACCATCTGTAAAAATTGGACAAAAATGGAAAAGACGTCAAACTTACGACGAAGTAGATAAACCCAAGTGCACCTAGTGTGATCATCAATAAAAGTCACATAATATGTATGACCAGAAAAAACAGTGATAGGGGAAGGGGCCTATACATCAAAATGTATAAGATCAAAAGCACTAGAAGCACGAGTCATATAAAGGATATAACTAGTACGGGTATGCTTAGACAACTCACAAACCACACAATAAAACTTAAAATTTTTGCAAGCTTATTAAATGAAGGAAAAAGTTGACATAGATTCTGAAAATTAACATGATCCATACGAACGTCCCATAATTCTAAAGTTTGAATATTAAAAACACAAGACATGGAAGCAGATGAAGTAGAATCGTAGTGCGAAGGGTGCTAGCACCACAAGGGTGAGAGGAACGTTGCCTCAACTCAGGATGAAATATGAAGCAACGAGCCTTAACATGACTAGAAGCGCCACAATGATGACAAGTAACTGGACCAGTAGAACCCCGAGAACCAGACTTTACAGCAAGAGCCATCTGATCAGATGAAACTGGAGACAAAGGAGAAGGATTCAGCTGAACTAGACGCCTACGGCGCTTGTCACTATCAATGGTGGCAAAGGCCTTATAGAGAGAGGGCATGGGTGATGTGTTTAAAATCTGAGTCTGAAGGGATTCAAACTCAGAGTTTAAACCCATCAGAAACTGGTAAGTATGCTGGTGAGCAAGGTGTCAAGACACAAGAGAGGCAGCACCTACTGGTAACTCAGTCAAGGACTCATATTAAGCCAATTCTTCCCAACGAGCTAAAAGGTATCCAAAGAATTCTGACACAGAAAGACCCAAGGTAGACTGGAAAGCACGAGCAATATCCTGATAGAACTAAAAGATGCAAGTAACATTATGAGCATGAGCATATATCTATGACATGGCATGTCATAGATCGGGAACTATGTCGCAATAGAGAAACATGTGATAAATACGATCTTCCATGGAGTTGAACATCTATCCCAAAATAGTACAGTTATCAATAATCCATTATGAACAGGTAGGATTTGTTGCAGCAAGCTGGCTAGTGGAAGACAAAAGCCAATGAGCTTTTCCCTTGCCCCCTAAATAGAGTTTAAAGGAGCGGCTTCAGGCGGCAAAATTTTTTCCATTCAACACCACACTCGTAATACGATGAACAAGAGTGTGATAAGAAAGAGAAAAATCAGAACTAATTGGGACAAGCTTGATGGGTATATCAACAAAGGATGGATCAGTCATGGTGGGAGAAGAAGGGGCTAAAAAACACACAAAGATAGCAACACAATCCAAGAAAAAATAAAAAGCTGGAAAAAAAACTCAACGGCTTATCCAAATAGATGCTACTGAATAAACCTGGTAGCCAAAAGAATAAAAGAACAGACAAAGGGACTTGATACATTAGTCTAATAATCCCAAAGGGGAAAAAAAAAAAACAGCCACAGATCACCTAAAGAGGCAGCCAAAGTACGTAAGACCAAAACTAGGTCTGGTCGGTAGCAACCAGAACCTCGGCAGGGATAAAGAAGGCCTACCAAGGTGAAGATAAGGAAGAAGAGAGGCTGCAGAGGTTGGGTTGAGGCTGGGCTTAGGCTGTCGGAGGGAGAAAAGGAGTTGGAAAGGGTTGTCCAAGGCTAAAGAGAAGAAAGAAGGTAGTCGGTTGTGATCGGTGGTTGAGAGAGAAAAGGCTAGGGAGGCTCTGATACCAAAAAGAATGGAAAGAATTATTTGGCTTACCAATCAATGAGGGAGAGGCCATGTATATATAATATATTTATGATATAATTTAGGAAACAATATATACAAGGCAAAATTCCTATAATCAAAATAATTCCTATTTCAATTCCTATTCTAATTTCCATATTTAGCCATAATATTTTGATTCTTATATTCAACATAATGCACCTCACCCTTCTAAAGATTATGAAACATTTGCAGGCAATTGTGTTACTCAACATCTTTGCAATTAATGTCTTCGGAAAATAAATAGAAACATGTAGTAATTATCTTCGTGGACAAATCCACACTTCATGAATCCCACAGTGATTGTGAAAAGAACATCACTAGATTCACAACCCATTTAATAGTCACATAATTGTTGTCAGCATCTTTTTTTTGGTATATTGTTGTCAATATCTTATGATTCATGATACTATCTTGTGATTTGATAAGTAAATTGATGCTATTATCAATACGTATCTTAAAATTAAACGTATCTTAGTGATATAAGATACGTGATACATAATGTGATAGATATGTTACCTTAGTACTTGAATTTCTTTAGCAATTTTGAAGAAAAAAAAAATGAACTTATTTTATGTAAATTAATATTGTCAAAAAAATTCATTAACTTATTAAAAATGAGTAATTTTTAGATGAGAATGGTACGTTTTTTTTTTTTTTTTTTCATCTTTTTAACAAATAGCTACTTGTATGCTATTAAGTATCTTGTATTGAGCTGATCAAAAAAATATATATATATATATATATCTTGTTATTGATTTATGCATATACTTACACGGTTAAATTTTAAAACTTTCTACTATGGACAAACTATTTGACAACTTAAAAGTTCTAAACAAAATACTAAAAATTAAATTGTGAGCGACGACAATATGTAAAACATATTATACAGTTACTAAGAATGATATTTGAGAGTAAATTAGAATAAAAAATTTAATAATATACTAAAATACCATATTATTACCTATACATATTATAACTCCACTCTACATTTTATGTGCATTAACATTATGTTTGGTTTGGATATTAAGGAGAGCAAACAAAAGAAATATTTTTTAAAATATTATACATTATTTAGTATTTTATTCTCACATTTTTTGTTTTTGTTTTTGTTTTTCTATAATTATATTCTTTTACCTATTTTTAAAAGGGTTAAAAAAATCTTGCAATATACAATACAATACGATAAGATACGCAATTAAGGCTCTGTTTGATTCGCTGTAAAATATTTTTCTATTTCTGTTGTTTGGTTGGCTTAAAATAAGTAAAATATTTTACATCATAAAGTGTAAAATGATTTACATTTGAATTTTTTTTTTTTTCCTCATCAGAGGTGATACTACTCAAAGTACATATCAAGTTTCACAACTTTCATACACTTCAAATGTTTTTGTTCTCTCTCTCTACATATATATATACATATACATATATTATGGATGAACAATTGATCAGAATTAGGTTTTGAAATTGTTATTTTTGTTACATTCAATCATTGTCTTATTTTATTTTTTATTAATGATACACGAACAAAATTTGTATATAAAAAATTTATATCTAATGATGTGTCACATTCATATCCACTTATTTAAAGTCAAAATTCTCATTACTATAGTTCATAATTGTAAAAATGATATTGTCACATCATTTGTCTTCAATTCTATTCTATATGAAAATTACGTATGACTAGCATTTTTCTTTTTTAAAATTTACTCTATAATTAGTTTTTTATTGTAGAAAATATTTAAAGTGCAACACTGGAAAACAAAAACAAAAAATTATTTTTGAACAAAATCATAACAAACGGAGCTTTAAAAAAGAAAAGAAAAGCCATATACCATTCGTATGTTGATTTGACAATTATGATGAGTAACACAACAAATGATGATAACAAAAGATGATCAGGAACAAACAAAGAAGAAGTAAGTGAATTACAGAATTCAAACACAATTACCCACACATTTTAGATGAATATACACATACACATATCATAAAAATGCACATTTAAGAAACTTCAAATTTCCTTTGGGACAAAGAGCAAATTTGGGAGGCTAACCTTTTGAAAGAGAGAAGATCCTCCTCCTCCTCCTCCTCATCATCAGCTTCTTCAGTGTTCATTTCTGGAAAAAGAAACCCAATTCAGGTAGTTAGTAATAAGTCCTACAACTCTGCAATCAGGTTCAATTTTGCAATGTCTACAATTCCAAGAACTGACAAACAAAACATATGCAATTGGGTTGAAGGAAATGAGTGAGAATTTGCTTATATTAGCAGTAGTATATGGACTCAATCGTCGAGGTCAGAGAAACGGTTGTTCCGATTCCCAACTGGGCTTTTAAACAAGTGCGTGCGTCAATGCTTCGTAGCAATGGAAGCAGCCAATGTTTACACATTTTACGGATTAATGATTTGCAAATTCAACTTTTAGAAATGAAACAGATTTGAAACAAAATAAAACACGTAACATATATTGATTATGGAAAATGTTTGGGAACTAACTTTGGGATGACCACCCCTCTAAAGTGATTATGACCCTCTACATATATGTGGTGTTTGTTTATGTATGTGTGATCATGTGAGGATTTAGGTTTTAATTATTGTTCATATATTTTTTTTATAGATAAATTAGACACTTGGTATAAATAAAAATAAAATTTCAAAAAATCAATCTAAATACTCATATATACAATAGTATAGATAATGAATAATTAACTTTTTAGCATTTTTGGTTGGTTTGTTTTATTTTTTGTTGTTTGGTTGGTCATAGAGTAAGTAAAATATTTTCCAATAAATTGAAGGAAATTAACTTACAAATTTAAAGACGAGTAGGTGCTGTTTGATAAAGTTAAAAATTGAAAATTAATTGTTAAATTTATTGAATTAAAAAGTTATTTGATATGTATAAGATTAAATTTAAAATTTACTATTTTCAGATCATATATTTTAATTTTTGTATTGTAATGGTGGTGGTAGTAGTAATGGTGATAGTATGATGATGATGATAGTGGGGGCGATAGCGGTAGCGATAGTGATGGTAGTGGGGGTGGTAGTGATAGTGATAGTGATATTGGTAGTGGTAACAGTAATGATCATTGTGGTGGTGGCGGTGACAACGGCGGCATGGTGGTGGTAGTAGCGATAGTAGTGGCATGATAGTGGTGATAGTAAATATGTAATAGTGTATACTGATACTTAGTATTTACAAATTTAGTCAGAATTAAATAAATTTCATATGATTTGAATTTTCCTTAAGTTTTAACTTACATTTTAAGAGACATTTAAATTTTTAAGTGATATCAATTATAATTATTAAACAGACTTAATTGATTATCACTAAATACATTTAATTTTAAGTGTTGAATCATATTATCAAACACCCTATTAGCCTTGCAATGAATGATCGATTTATAATTATTTGTATAGTGGGTCTTGTAATGATTTTTTTTTTTTTCCCACCTTTGTTGAATTGAAATTACTTTAAGGCTCCGTTTGTTTTGATGTAAAATTTTTTTATCAAAAATATTTTATTCATTTTCCATTGTTTGGTTGAACCAAATGCAAGTAAACATTTTTTTTAAAAAAAATTTTGGTATCATTTTCTCAAAAATGACTTGCCTTTTAAAATTCAGTATGCCAATTTTTATAAAGTTGACTCATACTCACTATCTTTTTAACATATTTTAGCCTTTTGAAATAAATATATTAACTCACTAAAAAATCATAAATGATACCTTATTGAATCAAAAAAAAAAAAATTTTGAGTAATAATATTTTTGTTTCAAGTGTAAACAAAATGCTAAAAAACAAAAACAAAAATATTTCTTCTATGTAAAATTAATTTATAAGAAAAATATATATTTTTTTTATAAAATATTTTACTTCAAAACAAACGGAGCTTAAATATTTTTTAACAGGGGAGCTTAAATTATAATTTACATACTTTATTATGACGAACAAGTCAAACAATGCATGTGCACAATATTCTACTTTGGGTTGGGCTTCCTTTCTGGACTGAGGGTGCTGTCCGGCTTTGTGAGTTTTAGTCCCGTTTTGATAATTTGAAGGTTTATTTTGTATTTTTTTTTATATATATTATTCATACCAAAAAAAATCAATCTCATAATTATAATTATTTAATTCATTACATTTGTTATAAAAAATATATATCCAATTTTTTAAAAATAATCGTGATAAATTAAATAAGTTACGATTATTGAATCAATTTATTTTTTAAAAAAAATATTAAATTATCGAAATGAAACACATAATAAACTTATGTTAAAACAACGTTACCTATTATATTAAACGAAAGTTGGACTTGGTGTATAATCATTAGCCTAGTCCATATCTATCTTATCCAACTCATATTATCATCTATCTATCTATACTATTATACTAAATAAAGGCTACCTTGACATTGAGTTTAGAAAAAAGAAACTCTTTCCACTTTAGCAATACACATATTAATGGTAATATTAATTTCTTTATTATATATTTTTATTTTTATTTATTTGAATTGCACACTCATCGTGTGCCAATTGCTAGTACTATTTTAAAATGAACATCTTTGGTGGTATCCTGAAACCTTCTCTCCTTATATTGCCAAGTATCCATTTTTCTATTTTTTTTTTTATTTTTAAAAAAAGAAGCATTCTCCTTTTACAATTGAGTGTCCATTACAATTGTGTGTCCATTTTTCTACTTAAAAAAAAAAAAATTAAATTAAATTAAATAGATGAGAGGAATCAGACTTAAACCTTAAACCTTAGATTTAATGAAAAAGACTTTTACCACTTAAGGGGCATAAAATATAAAATAAATATTTTGTTTTATTTTTACTTCTTTAAATTGTACACGTATTGCTTATGCCAATCACTAATATATGTATATATATATATATATAAAGGATTTAATTAATGAGTTTGAAAAGATTAATATATTTTATAAGAGACTTACTAATGACAACCTTAAAAGCCCGTCATAAGAGACTTACTAATGACAACCTTAAAAGCCGTCAACAAACATCACAAATTGTCAAAATAAATATATTTATAATTCCAATACATTTTTCACATAATTAAATACATTTTTACATATTTAATACACTTTAATATTTTTTTTATATATTTTTTCAACACTAATGACAATCCTAAAGACTTTTTTTTAACATTTTGGTTTTTTTAGAAAAGTGTGTCAAGTAAAAAATATAAATTTATTTTACCAATTTATTTGCAAAACTCACTAACAAAATTCACACACTCACACTCACACTCACACTCACATATATATATATATATATACATATATATGAACTGAGCTTTCCCCACATCCATAATTTGGTTTAGAGGATGTTTTGACGTTAGTGGATTCCATAACGGATTTCGTTTTGATAACTTAAACCGCTTATTTTGTAAAAAATTTCATGTATATCAACCATACAAAATTAATCTGAAAATCATAATATTCTCTTCAATTTATCATGTTTATCAACTAAAAAATAGTCTATGTTTAAAAACACACTTGTTTATTTTTTTGATAAAAATGCAATAAATTGAATAAGTTACGATTATTGAATCGACTTAATTTATATATATATATATATATATATAAATTATGTACACAAAAAACTCGGGTGCCTCTATTTACACACCTTAATGTATCTCAAGGCAAACTACTTCTAAAAGCACACCTCTAATAATTTGATAAATATATATTTTACTCATGACACCACAAATTTACATATTTATCATCACTCACACACTCATCCACAACAATACACACACAAACTCCCATATTTACCCTCACTCACTCACACACCCCCACACACCCACCTTCTTCCATCTTCCTCCCTCCATTCTCAGTTTCAACCTGTGAACATTGTGTTGGTGCTCAACACAGAGTCCTTCAAAGCAATGCACCCTTCTGATGAACCCATAACGGGTTCAAATTGTGACTCATCTTCTCCTCCTTCAACCTCAGTCTTCTCCGAAATGCGGATACCAAGAACCCTAACAGAACCCAAAACTCTATCATCTTCCTCCTCCACAGAGCCCACAGAATCATCGTCGTTGTCTCTCAACAACATGGCAATCAGGACACCCTGTTTTCTGAGTGGTTCATCAACATATTTCTCCTCCTCCTCCTCCTCCTCTTCCATGGTTATTTCCAAGGTTTCTTCATCTGGGTCAGTCACAAAAGGCCTAGAAACAACACAATCCTCAACAACCCTCCTTTTTCCTAGGGTTTCATCATCTGGGTCTGTAACAAATAGCTTCTCCGAAGCCGTATCAAACCCATCTTCACCACTCACAAACCCATCAGACTCGAACGCACTGTCACTTTCATAGATACTGCTATAATTTTCTTGACCTTTGGTTGATAGAGAGAATTAAAAATCAGAATCAACAGTAGGAAGAGCTCTGATTGGGAGAGAATAAAAAGAAGAAGAACCTGGTGATGAGGTGGAAAAAGAGAGCTTTGGCTTTGGGTACAGCTCAGCTGGTGATGGGGTCGCTTGTGTTGCAGAAGGAGGGACACCACAGAGCTTTGAGTCCATGGAGGTTTCTTTACTTTTCTTTTTCTTCTTTTCTTTTCTCTAGAAGCAAACAGGCAGAGATGCCAAAACAAAAGTGGGAGGAACGAAAAGATGAAGAGGGAAAGTGAGCGTGTACCATAATTTGTCCTTTATAGTCATTTCATTTAAGGTTAAAATTGTAATAAAAAAATAAATTAATTAATGATTTGCCTTGAGAGATAAAGTGGTGTGTAAATAGAATGACCCAAAAAACTCTACAAAATGACAATTTGAATTATTAAAATGAGGCCCATGATGCCCTTACAATTTCGAACAGCACCCTCCTCCTTTTCAAATTATGTTTTGAAGGGAATCCAACACGTATAAATGTATACTCTAGAAATATAGGAACTGTTCTGATTTTTTTTTTTGTTTTATTTTTTTCCCTTTTGTGTCTTTTTAGTAACTTAAAAGATTCAATTAATTAATTAGACATATGAGATGGGCCAAACCATCTCAATTTGGAGGGATTGAATTTATTAAAAAAATTGAGACACAAGAGGGTGAGAGAAGTAGAAATTAAATTTTTCCCCCACTTTTTTCTTTTATTTTCCTTTTTTTTTTCTTTTTTCTTTTTACTTTTTTTATTCTACAAATCTCCACACTAAACTTCGAGAAACATAACATGGTACTCATCATGGCCTTTTTCCTTTTAATAGGCTAAAATGCATAAAATTAAACCATATAAAAGTACTCATTATGTTAATATCAACACGTTGAAACCTACCAAAAGTATCATCATTTGGCGGTGAACTCATTATTTTTATTAGATGAGAGCAGTGAGCCTCATTGTACTAAAATGCACATTTTAAAACTTTTATCTGATTAAATTTTGTGCATGTCTGTATACTTAGTAATTGGGTTCAAATTCTAGCATCCGCTCCATAGTAGTCTCAACCTACAACATCAATTAACAACATGTCCACTACAAGACGGCCCAACCAGTTAAAAGAGGATCCAACTATTTTAAAATGGGATCATTCATCTTGATTTGAGGCAACAAATCAATTTGATTATCGAAACATGCAAAAGTAGCAAAATTTGTTCATTGGTGAGACGTTCCCTAGGCTTTTCCGTGAGTTCCTTTAAAAAAAACAAGAAAAAAAAAAAAAAAAAAAACCCATTTGATGTTTCCCCGGGTTTTCCATGAGATCAACGAATCCCAAACCAGACTACAGTAGAAGCCATTCGAAACCCCTCCATAATATACATGTTTTGAGAGACATACCTGTGGTTGTTTGGGCACCTGAAAGCTGAAGCATTATACAGAACTGATGTCCACTACAAATGCTTTCTCTAAAATGCTTGCTTCTTCCAAGCCAAAATCAATTTCAGAATCTTCAAACGTCTGCATAAAACTTGAAACTCCTGACCTTCTAATAAGGATTATCAAGATACATATATATTACTTACAACAATGTAGTCTCCAAGAATATCAAAACTAAACCGAAAGCACAAACTACCCAACATTGGATGCAATCTGGATTTATCTAGACCTACAAAAAGCCAGTATTGCTTGAAGCAAAACCCTACAAGAGTCGTTTGCGATACGCCTCCCTCCTCCAAAAACACTTGTGTTCTAATAACTAATTCCTTCATGCAAAGTCTTGCCGAAGTCCCTGATTGAAATAGGAATCGTCAGTGCTTTATTTTCATACAGAAGAATTCAAGACAAATTTCCGACAAGAGGTTTAGGCTAATGTCAATCACATCGTTAAAATGACCAGAAGTATTTCCAAATACAATTATCCTTTTATTTCAGAAATGAAAAGGATTAATAATGTGAACAGAGAACTAAGTGTATTATAAGTCTCTCGTTTTTTTTTATTTTTTTATGTGCAATGGTACTCGTCTATGAAGCATGGACACAGCAGATTTCATGCCGTGGCAGTGTCTGACACGGGGACACGTCGGGGACACGCCACCCTTAATTTAATTATTTTTTTGCAGGGGACACGGTGGAGACACAGCGGAGACACGCGTGTCCACCAAATCTGGACACAGAGAGCAAAAAAGAAGAGTAAAGGAGAAGAGTAAAGGTCTTGAAACAAACCTGGACTTCGATCCAGTCCAGTCGACTCGCCGGCGACCTCCATCCACTTCGACTTCGACGATCCAGTCGCCCTTCGACTTCGACGAGCTCTCTCTCTCACATTCTCTCCCTCGCGATCGCGATCGATCGCTTCTTCCTCTCTCTCTCTCAATCATGTCTTTATCTTCTTTAATCTGCTGGATTCATGTATGTATATAATATATAACTATTATTATAATCTGCTGGATTTATATATATATATATAATATAACTATTATTATTATAGTAGTTATAAAGGATGCCACCAGTTATTATTATATAACTATTATATTATATATACTTATACATATTAATAAAAATAAATAAACATGTATATAAAATAAAATAAAAATATTAATTAGAACATATTACTTAAAAAATATAATAAATAAATAAAATAATTAATATGTATTAAAATAAAAATATTTATAAAAAAATTAAAAAATCTGCCGTGTCCCCAACCGTGTCCGTGTCCCCATTTTTTAAAAATTGACGTGTCCCGTGTCCGTGTCCGTGTCTGTGTCCGTGTCCGTGTCCGTGTCCGTGCTTCATAGGTACTTGTCATTCTTCTCCTTAAAATGCAGTCTTATTGAATTGCATCTGCCATAACTTGGTCCATGCATTCCAAAATGTAAATTGATGAAATTTATGATAATTTTGAGTTGTTAATTGGAAGTTCTGAACTATTTGAGTAGACTGAATTTCACAAACTTGAACCATAGTTAGTAGGGCTGCAAATAAGCTGACCCGACCCAAGCTTTGCAGGGCTCGAGCTCGAAAATTGATGCTTGCTAATACTAATCGAGCTTGAGCACGGCTCAAAGATCACTAATGAATTTTTTTGGCTATTACTTACAGTATTTAAATATATAACTGATGCATTAACACTGTCTGATGCTACCTTGCCCATTAACTATGGTGAGGGACTTAACAACTAAGAGAAGAGAGAGAGCGTGTGGAGAAGAGAAAGAGGTCCCACGTGTTTTTATACATTCTTATTCTTCAAATTTTACACTCATGTGGGTCATTCTAACTTGACACATACTTTAACACCTGCATTGGAGCACCCCTTTACTCACTAAATTAACAAACACTTACGACACGTACAAAAGGACCTTATTTTTAGCACTTTTTGTTATATAACACACAATTTTAACATCTTGATTAGAGATGCTTTGAAGGGTTCCAATTTAGTCCAAACCATATGGGGGTTAGTTACCGAGCTTCTAATCAAAGGAATACGTGTTTTTCGAACAAACTACGAGAGGCTAAAGTATAGTTTCTCATTTTCTGTTGTTATCAACATAACAAGTGATTCTGTTCAAACCACAAAAACATTTCATTACACAATTTCTAACTACACCACACAAAAATTCAAAATTTTAAATTTTATGTCTTCACACCCACAATAATACGAAACATATCCCTTTTTTTTTTTCTTTTTTTTCTTTTTTTTGATAAATCAAAACATATCCTTTTATTCACTCCTCACCTTTCAAACCCAAATTTTACCTCATGGTTCCACCCCCGATGACTACCCTCCAGCCGCCGTCTCCAACCACCAATCCCCACTATGAACTTGTTTAAGCAAAATAAATGCTACTTTTCAAGGATAATATAGAATTAGGGTGTCATAAAAACTGTTACGTTGTAGCTGTTGTAGGCATGTGATAGTATCAGCTCTCCATGTCTTTCATTGTAAATTGAATTGAGGGACAACACAGATGGTTAAGATGAGTATCAGAACCTACTAAACCATAAGGATATAAGTTCTCTGAGCAGAAAATTAAAATACAATAATTTGAAAAATACAATGATTTATAAAATCTTTGAAAAATTATATGCAATAGAAAAGTTAGTTATACACATCTTATCTAATCCATTAATTTGCATGCACCGATATAGTAAATTACCTCTGTCAACTACGGGCAAAAAGTCCACGGCGGGAACCTGCAACTTCACGCCCCCGCCCCTATATCATAGATAAACACACAAACAAACAAACAAAAAAGGAATGGAGGAATCAAATTCTAAGGGTAATGCCCATTAAGTTTTAATTAATATAAGTTACACCACTCACCTTCACATTGTTGAATAAGTCCTCTGAAATAGCCTCCATTTGTTTTCTCTTTTTTTCTTCTTTGACAGACTCGACTACTTCCTCACTTCCATAGTCAGAATCTCTGCCATCAACAAAGGTACAACACAAACGAATTTGTAATACAATTCACGGTTTTCCAAAGACTAATTAAAAATCAAAACAAGAACTAAGCTAGGGATCATACTTATATGGGTATTTTGAAAATGGAATAAGATTGTCGAAGCTATTTCCCGATGGAGTCCTTGACTACAAATCCATCCATGTTTAACCAATAAAAAAAATAAAAAACATTATATAAGCAAAATATAAAAGACAAAGTAAAAAAAGAAATAATGAAAAATGATTAACAGCAGATTATAACTGATGATAATTGGGAATAGTAAATCTACTAAGTAAAAAGAGCTAGGTACAATACTCAAAGCATTGTCTTACAACAAAACATCAACAAAATCAATCGTAAATCAGCAAATGAATGAAATGACCAAAGCCTTCCACTAAAAGTTTATCTGGGATTTCCTCTGCGGGATTTCAACCTATGATCTACAAAATTGTTAGGCTAGCCTCAAACTAAAAGAAATGAATATAAGTTGACACAGGATTTCCTCTCAAAACCACCAAACCAAACAAAAGAAAAATGGAGAAAAGAAGAAAGCATGCAACTTGAATCATTATTGCATAATGGGGATACAATTGGAGGTCATTTACCTTTCTGAAGCATTTAAAATTTGGAAGTCCATTGTCTGGTGAATAATAGACTGAAGCTGGTAAGTTAGTATCTCTAACAATTAAATTTTGGCTATATATTATATCTGGATTTCCACTTTCAGGCTCATCAACCTGGTCTCTTCTTGCTGTTATAGTATTATCTCTGTCACTGGGGCAAGTAATGTCACTCTCCAATCTGGTAGCAGCATGATCTGTAGAGAATTTCTCTTTTGTCTCCTGTATAGTGGATTCTGTTGTATTGAAATGATTTGTAGAGAATTTCTCTTTAGTCTCCTGTATAGTGGATTCTGTTGCATTGACAGCAGCAGACATGTCAACTGATATGGCTGTTTCTGCTTCTACATCAGAATCTGCTACCACTGTCTCATCCGTGGAACACGAAGATGAGACAACAACTGCAAAAGGACATTTATTTAGGTAAAACAAAACACGGGGATATATTGGAGAAAGTAAATATTCCTTTGCTTCTCAATGAAAAGATCTTCATGACATGATCAAGAAGAATAAATCTTACTAATTTCAGCAACTTACACCATATTCCAGCAAAAGTTACAAATTGCGATAAAAATCCTCGATTATCAAATAGTAAATAATTGTGAAAATTAATTCTCAGCCTTTTACATTAGGAGATTCAAACATATGCACACTAAAAAGATTTAATAAATAGATTAAGTACAGAGATTGTCTTCTACTTGTTTAAGCAACAAATAAGTCAATTCTATAATAGAGAAAAACAGAAAGGTAGGAGGGTCCTTCAATATGAAGACATCAAGTATGGAATTCTATTAAATTCTGACATCATAAATTTTAAAATTTGGTAATCTAAACTGTTACCATTGAAAGCATAACCCATCTGGGTTTAGTCCCCCTTTAAAAAAAGAAATTACATATTAGATTCATTTATCACTCTCAATCTAAGAAGTATGGACATTTGTAAGAAGGTAATGTGCCGTGTCAGTTAGAATGTATTATGAATGTTTCCTATTTCATCCTTATATTTAGTATCTTTATTTATGCCTTGGAGGGCTCCTGTAATTTTGCTAATGATCTAATATAAAAGGGGATGAGATAGGGCTCATATCTCTAACTCTTTCTTTTCTCTAAAACTATATGGTATCAAAGCCTAAACCCTAGCCCATACCTTTTTCCTGTCTGTCGGCAGCTTTATCTTCCCCAGGAGTGCAGTCGACCACAGTAGCCTCTTCTTACCCAGGCCATCGTCTGTCATCCCACAGTCCATCCAGGCCATCGTCAGTCTCTTAGGGAGTCTGTCGGCACTCTAGGGCTTCAACCAGGCCATCGTCAATCCACTAGAGGGTCTGTTGGCAGCTTCTCTAGCACCCTAGGGCCTGTCGACAGCCCCTCTGGCTTCCGTGGTTTTTGTTGGCATCTCCTAGGCTGCCATCGACTCTCTCTTCCAGTGTCGAAGCTCTCTCTTACAGTGTTGTACTCTCTCTCTCGTTTCTTATAATGGTTCGTTAGTTCTATTTTATAAATATATATATATATATATATACATATGAAGTAAAAAAATAAAAATAAAAATAAAACTGGATTCTTACTTTTATGTATTCTTAATTTTATGATTTTCTAGTTACTATCGTACTTGTTCCTCCACCATCTTTTGAGTTTGTGATTAGTCCTGAGTTTGAGAGTTACTTAGTAGAATATTCATGGTAGATTCCACTGATGGGTCCACAACTTCTCAGTCGCCTAAGAGCGAGAGTTCCCTTATACCTTCTACTATGACTGATAATCTTAATTCTGGGCTTAAAATCATCATTTCTATATTCAATGGTCAGAACTATCTAACGTGGTCGCAGAGTCTAACTATTCTCTTGAAGAGCAGAGGGAAGATGGGGTATGTTAATGGCAGAATACAAGCACCCATCACCACAGACCCGAGTTATGATCAGTGGGAGATCGCCAACTCCCTCATTATGGGTTGGTTGATACATTCTATGGTCCCAGAGATTGGAGAGAGCTATCTCTCTATGGACACTGCACAAGATATTTGGAAAGCCGTGACTACCACTTACTCTTGGAAAAGGGAAGTTTTCATAGGCTTTCGAGTTACGTCGCTCCATTTAAAGGTCAGTACAAGGTGAGATGATTATTCTCCAGTATTTTACCTTCCTTAGCAATGGGTGGAAGCAACTTGATCACCTTCAGGATTACAAGTCTGATTGTCCCATAGATTCTACTGGTTACCGGACGTTTGTGGCGCAAAAGAGGGTCTTCAAGTTCTTGGAAAGCCTTAATGTGGAGTATGATCCAGTTTGGAGCCGATTCCTTGGCATGGATGTGCTTCCTTCTCTCCAAGAAGCCTTTTGTGCAAAATGAGAAGAGTCGCCGCTCTGCGATGCGTCCTTCTATTACTACTGATCGCTCGGCCTTGGTTTCTACTCCCCTTCGCGATTGCGACCGTGTGACTCATGGTTCTCGTCCTTTCTCTGAGAAGGAGAATCTTTACTATGACTACTGTCATAGACCTCACCACACACGAGAGACTTGTTGGAAGCTGCATGGAACTCCCTCTAGTGGCCGAGGAAACCATCCTGGTACTCGCGGGGGTCGTTTTGGTTAGTCTAGAGGCCGACGGGCCAATGCCCAGGCACATCTTTCAGACACTATTGAGCCACCATCCTCTTCTCTAGTTGTCTCCCCTGCGGCTGATGTTTCAGGGTTATCTGCCTCGTATTTTGAGATTGCTCTTCGCCACTTACTAGACCGTCGAGCCTCCACTTCTGCTACAGGTGCACCCTTTTCTTCCTTTGCCAATTCAGGTAATTTGGCTTCCTCCCTATATGCATCTCTCTCATACAACTGTACCATGAATTATTGATTCTGGCGCTTCCGACCATATGTCTGGTCCTCTAATGTATTTTTAGAGTATAATCCCCCCTCAGGTCAGAAAAAAGTGCATATTGCTAATGGTATTATGTCGTCTGTGTCCGGAAAAGGTTTAATTTATGCTACCTCTTCCCTTCTTTTGTCCTCCATGTTCCAAATTTTGGTGTTAATCTTTTATCTTTGAGTCTTATTACCCGTGACTTAAATTGTAGCGTGATGTTTTTTTTCCTGATTACTGTCTTTTTCAGGACCTTATCATGAGGAAGAAGATTGGCAGTGAAAGGAGCATGGTCTTTACATTCTGGATCAGACAGACCAGCTGGCTCATTCATATATTCAGTTACCATCCACCAAAGACGATATTTGGTTGTGGCACCGTCACTTAGGACATCCCTCTTTTTATTACTTAAGCATTTATTTCCTTCTGTTTTTGAAAAAAATAATGTGTCAGATTTTCAATGTGAGTCTTGTCAACTTAGAAAACAACACAGAGCCTCTTTTGCTCCTTCTAGTAATAAAAGTTCAGTTCCATTTTCTTTGATTCATTTTGATGTATGGGGTCCATCCCGTTTTGTGTCTGTCGCTGGTCACAAATGGTTTGTTACCTTCATAGATGATTGTTCCCGGGCCACTTGGGTATATTTGATGAAAGGTAAAAGTGAGGTATTTTCTGTGTTTTAACACTTCTATAAAATGGTTTGCACTCAATTTGGGGCGGTTGTCCAAATTCTCCATTCTAATAATTGGGGGGGGGGAATATATTGACTCTGATTTTGCCATTTACTTTACCACTCATGGCATTATTCACCAGACTTCCTGCACTAATACTTCGCAACAAAATGGTGTTGCTGAATACAAAAATCGCCATCTCCTTAATATCGCCCGTTGTCTATCTTTTGAGATGCGGGTTTCTCGATCCTATTGGGGGAAACGGTTCTTACAGCTGCTTATTTGATTAATCGCCTTCCTAACTAAATCCTTCAAAAACAAACCTCTTCAAGTTTTGTTCGGGTCTACCTCTTCCGGTTTCTCTATTTCCCCTAAGAACTTTGGATGTGTTTGCTTTATCTATAATCATTCACCCACTCGTGATAAATTAGATCCTAGGTCTCTTAAGTGTGTTTTTTTGGGTTATTCTGCCACAAAAAAGGTTATAAATGTTATCATCCTCCCACTCACAAATTGTTTGTCTCCATGGATGTCACTTTCTTTAAGTTTCAGCCTTACTTTTCGACCTCCTCTATATCCCAATCATCCCTTCAGGGGGAACCTTGGTGTGAAGAGATTCATGTTCCACTTCCGGTAAGAAAAGATGATGAGTCAGCAGTTGTTGAATAAAAGGAAGCAAGCAAAGTTTATATCAGGGACAAGGACAGATAGCAAGTCCCCTGGATGCAAGAGCCTACTTTCTCTTCTCTATTGCCAACTTCTTCTTCGGATGAGTATCCGAAGTCACTCCATTCTCTTGAGAGTCCAAGTAATTCTAATTCTAGTATTCCTGAGTTTTCAGATCTTGATATTCCCATTGCTAATAGGAAGGGGGTTAGGACATGTACTCCGCATCCTATTACTAATCATGTATCTTATTCCAATTTGTTTCCTCATATAAACCATTTCTGTCTAAAGTGTCTTCTGTGAGTCTATCTACCAATTTTCAGGATGCTCTCTCTATTCCTGAATGGAAACATGCCATGATAAAAGAAATGAGAGTTCTCAGCAAAAGTGGCACTTGGGAGTTAGTGGAGTTACTTAGAGGCAAAAATCTAGTTGGGTGTGAGTGGGTGTATACGGTAAAACACAAAGCAGATGGTTCCATAGAGCGGTGCAAAGCAAGACTGGTTGCTAAGGACTTTCCTCAGACTTATGGGGTAGATTACCAAGAGACATTTGCACCGGTTACTAAGATGAACTCCGTGAGAATCTTACTCTCTCTTGCTACAAATTTGGATTGGACACTTCATTAGTTTAATGTAAAGAATGCCTTCCTTCATGGAGACCTCGCAGATGAGGTCTATATGGATATTTCCCCTGATTTTGCAGATGCTAAGTCCAAAGGTAAAGTATGCAGGCTCCGAAAGTTGCTTTATGGGCTAAAACAGTCTCCTATGGCTTGATTTGAAAGGTTTGCTCAAGCTTTGCTGAAATATGGGTTCAAGCAAAGTCAAGCTGACCACACTTTGTTTGTGAAACACTCCTCCCATAGTAAGACCACAACTCTTATTGTTTACGTTGATGATATTGTTCTGACAGGAGATGATGTTGAGGAGATTCCTCGTTTGAAGGAATACTTAGCCACAGAGTTTGAAATCAAAGACATAGGCAATTTGAAGTATTTTTTGGACATTGAAGTAGCTCGGTCCAAGAATGGCATCTTCATATGCCAACGGAAGTATGTACTTGACTTTCTAAAAGAAACTAGCATGCTTAGAGGTAGACCGTGTGACACACCTCTAGACTCGGGCCAGAAACTAAGTGAGGATCAAGAGGGAGATCTAGTGGACAAGGGAAGATACCAACGGCTAGTGGGTAAGCTCATATATTTATCTCACTCACATCTAGACATTGCCATTGCAATGAGTATGGTTAGCCAGTTCATGCATGCTCCTAGAAATTCCCACTTAGAGGCAGTTATGAGAATCCTGAGATATTTGAAGGCCTTTCTTGGAAAGGGTCTCAATTTCTCAAAACATGGACATCTCAGCGTGGAAGCATTCACTGATGCGGATTGGGCTGGATCCGTCATTAACAGATGATCAACTTCGGGATATTGTGCACTTGTTGGAGGCAACCTAGTCACGTGATGCAGTAAGAAATAGAATGTGGTTACTAGATCTAGTGCTGAGGCAGAATTCAGGGTTATGGCTCAGGGTGTACGTGAATTACTATGGATTAGACTATTGTTGGGAAACTTGGGGATACATCAGACCGATTCCATGAGATTATACTGTGACAACAAGGCCGCAATCAACATATCTCATAATCCGGTTCAACATGACAGGACCAAACATGTGGAGATTGACAGGCATTTTATCAAAGAAAAGCTCACTAGTGGCACTATATGTACGCCATTCATGAGGTCTGGGAACCAACTGGCTGATGTTCTCACCAAAGGATTAGGGAACAAACCATTTCGTGACATTTTCAACAAGCTAGGCATGCAAGATATCTTCGCACCAGCTTGAGGGGGAGTGTTAGAATGTGTTATGAATGTTTCCTATTTCATCCTTATTTATATTTAGTATCTTTATTTATGCCTTACGAGGGCTCCTGTAATTTTGCTAATGATGTAATATAAAAAAGGATGAGATAGGACTCATACCTCTAACTCTTTCTCTTCTCTAAAACTACAGTGTCCGACACCATATCGGACACTGACATTACATGACACTCGTCAGACACTTCATAACATACAAATACACATGAAACACATTACAAATTTTAATAAAACAATATGTAAACAAATGATAAAACAAAACAATGTAATTTATATCTATTCTCCTCCTTTAGACTTTAAAAATTATTATCTTTAACATATAATAATTATTTCTCTTTGTATATGACATATAATAAATATATAAAATTATATACTCCATCCGTCCCATTTTTTTTGTCCACCTTTCCATTTTGATCTGTACCAAAATATTTGTCCACTTTCTACTCTGGATATTGAAATCTTTTAGATTTCCAAAATTACCCATTATACACAAATACAAACACATTTCAAAATTTAAAATCAAAGAACACATGAAAAATTAATTATATAGAGAACACAAAGTACAACTAGAAAGCATGGACGTAGATCAACGTATATAAGAAGCTTGAGTTTTCCCTTGCTAGAAAGCGGATACATGAGGAAAATGTAAACGCTTCTGCTGAAATAAATTGCCAACGTCAAAAAATAGTTACCCCCAAAAAGATTGTAGATTTATCTGCCAGTTTCCAGAAGGCATAGAAAATTTAAAATTATTCATATTCTGCTCAAGTATGTGACATGCTAGAAAATGGTTGTGTATGCCTGATAAGTGGGTCCTAATACATTATCCTTAGAAGCTAGGAAGCTGTTGCATTTCTCAAGATTCTCTTATACAATAGTTATATTCCCCCAAGTATTAAGAATTTAGAAGTATGTCCATATTCTTGGTAAAATTATTGGGTTTTCTTTTTAGGTCTTGGAATTATGGGGTGCTTTTAAGTTTATAGTGGAAGTTGAAATTTAAATTAGACTTGCATGTATGCATACAGCTAAGTTTCAATATAGAATTATTAGTTCACAAATCAAAGGGTACTTATCACCAAAAAAAAATTAGACTCTTACCAGGTGCTGCTACCATGACAGAAGGATCCAAGTGTGCAGAAAAAGCAGCACAAATCAAATCCTTCTCCTTTACTCTAGATAGAGAACTAAGGTTACGGGAGGACACAAACTTGTCTGCCAATCCAGGAGGGATTACAAGCACCACCCTCTTATCTTCTTCATCTTCCAACCCCTACATGCAATTATTCAGAAAAGTATTTCATAAAGAAAATCCAAACAAGAATTACATATGTATTTATTGCCCCAAAATATGATTTCCACCAATGATTTTAGCTAAGATTGCATACCCTTGTGCTAAAGTAATGAAATTGTTTGACATTTAAGAAGGGAAAACCAGTCAAATGAACTTTTGTTATAATGCAAACAGCAGAATAACCAGTGCAGATGAGGCCAGAAAAGCAGGTTGGGGCTGACATAGCAGCTACCACCAATGTTTTACTTATCTTTTATTAATTGGGTTAAAAGAATCAGATGACTTGGTATTTACAATATCCGCTCAAATTATTCAAATTGGTCCCTCCCAAATAGCCATCTTTTGGCCTTGAATTCTCTCCTTAAAGATTTCAAAGTATAACCACTTGATGACAAGCATCAATCACCTGTTGCTGAGCATATCTATAGTTATTCCATTTACAATAAATTGAAACATCACATTCATATAGTTTCTTTTTCCAGACCTTGTTTGACCATCATATCATGAGTAACTCAAATTGAAACAAGTGAACAGCTGGCAAACAAAGAGATTGTTCCAAAGTGGTAGAATCACCAATAGGATATCTTGTGCATGGAAATTGACTTCTTTAGATGCACACCATAAATCCAGGAGAAACATCTTTTCAGTATTTTTGGGCTTCTATAAGGTGGCTTGGTTTTATACTGGGAGATTGCATCCTTTCATGCGCCCCCTCCCCTGTTCTTTACTAAATATCCTTCGGGGTTGATTGGGTTTGGGTGCTTACCCCTGAAATACGGTTTCATTCTTTTTGGGTTATTTCTGGTCTTCTCTCCTGTCTAGACCTTTTATGACTAGATTGAGGGTTTCCAATTCCTAGTTATTGGGCCTGTTTTCTTGCTTTGACAGTAATTTGGTTCTTGGAGATCTGAGGCAACCTTGAGCTTTATGAGGTCTCTTCTACCTAGAGCGACGATGTTTAGTTTTTAAGTCCAATAACTAAACAGTGGATGTTTGTGACATGAATTTCAAAATGAATTGAAACTTTCACGTTTCCAAATTTTTGTCTACAAATTTCTGGAACAACCAGTGAAACCTATTTCTCTTCCCATCTTTTGAAGAAAAAAAAATCATATAAGTTATCGTGCGTGTTTCCCTGTTATAGGAATGTTGAAGTGGTTGTTAAGAGGCCAACCTACACTTGTGTTTTTCCCTGTGCTTGTTACCCAAGGGGCTCTAGAGCCAAGGCTCTCAGCTGTCCCAAGGATAGTTCGTGCCACAGAGAAGATAACTCTTTTCCAGAAAGCTGAAAACCTTAAAAAGATCGCTAAGGATAATATAAAGGCTTCCAAGGAATATTCAGCAATAACGACTACAGTCCGAACTAATAATTTCCTTGTCTGGACTATGGAGGCAGACCAGGATGCAAACCATGACCCTAGCTGTAGCTGAAATCACCCAAGTGTAAGTTTGCCTCTTAACAACCACTTCTGCATTCCTATAACAAGAAAACACATCAAAGAACTAAAATGAAAGTTCTATTTTCATTTTTTTCTTCAAAAGATGGGAGGAGAAACAGGTCCCACTGGACATGCCAGAAATTTGAACACATTTGAAAATGTGAAAATTTCAACACATTTCAAAGTTTAAGTCACAAACACCCAGTACTGAGCTTTTGGACTAAACAATGTTTGATTATTTAATCGTAGATTCCAATTTCTGATCTGGATTCCAAATCGTTAAAAACTCTCTAGCACAGAGTGAAATCTCCAATTAATGAAGTACAAAAAAAATGACAAGAGAATTCAAACAAAAGAATTATTTTATTAAAATTTTGGGGATTTAAAGTCCCTAAAAATACAGAGTCTAAGAAAAATACAATGAATGGGTTTGGAACCATTTACCTATAACTCACCATCGCACTGTGCGTTGAGTGTTAAGTGTTGTTGCTCTTCATGATTCTTTGGGTTCTAAATATTTCTATACTCCCAATCTTATAGCTTTCAAATTTTATCAATTCTAGTCTCTAGTCCCTCTTCGGCAAGGTTTCAAAAAGCAGTGTTATGTAACGGTTGCAGTGGCAGGAGCTACCCATTACACTAGCTTTTGCGGTGTGACGAAAATTCGCATGTGTAACGGCTGTTTCGGTGTTACGTAACAACCGTAGTGGTACTGTAACGGCCCGTTACACACTTTTACAATATTCTGAATAACTTCCTTTCCAAAAAAATAAACCACAACTTCACAAAAAAAAAAAGGAATGAATACTCAAGTGATCCAAGCCAAAAAAAAAAAAATCTGTATGAATTTTTTTTTCTTTATAATTTTTTTAAAAATTTTTTCATTTCATGGCATTAGCATGTAAAATAAAAATATATATAAATATGGTTGTATTGATTTTAATAATTATTTCATTTAACATTAATTGTAAATATTTTTTATTTTGTTTCTATAATGTGTTGCCTAAAAAATGTCCTTTAAAAAAATAAATAAAATTAGTAGCTCAAAAATAATTTTTGTTTATGGCACAATTTAATTTTCATTTTTATAATCATTTCATTTAATACTTAATTGTAAATAATTTTATTTAGTTAGTTATAAAGTGTTGTCTAAAAAATGTCTACTAAAATAAATAAAAAAAAATCAATAGCTCAAAAATATTTTTTGTATGGCACAATTTTTATTTTTATAATCATTTCATTTAATAATTGTAAATATTTTTTATTTAGTTAGTTCAGGTATTAGTAAAAAATAATTTGTAGACATTTAAAATCAATTATTTTAAGTCATTAGCTATTGAAATAAAATGTAAAAAGCTCATTTTATAGTGATTTAAAAATATGAAACATATTAGATCCTACTTAAAAACTAACAAAAAATTGATCAAAATCTATTTTAAACCCCAATAAATGTGATTTGGAAAAAAAAAAAATTGCATATTAATAAGTTCTTTTCAAATTGTGAGAAAAAATTAAAAAATTCACGGTTCATCGTAACCATTACGCTATGGCCTTTACATCCCATAACTGCAATCGTGCCACCACAACCATTACGGTGACCGCAAATGCTTTTCGAAACCTTGGTCAACACTTGATTGAATGCATCGTCCTCTAAATTTTTGTAGACTCCACATGTTATTTGACTTGTATAGGTTTTAAATAACATTGTTTAAATGTGACGTATTTGTATCCCATCATATGTCTTAACTGATCATATTGAATCTTTTTATAGTTTGGTTTCCTCTAGCTTTTCCCATTGTAGGTTCTGCATGCACCATCACTTGATTGACCGAGTCATCTTCTAAACTTTGTATACTCCACGTGTCACCGCCCCCACTCCTGCTCCTGCCCCTACCCTACCCCACTTTGTGCAACTAAGATCTTTATCATTTGAAAAAACACAAAAAGGAGATAGAAAACAAGTAATTGTTGATAATAACTATAAAATAAAAACCTAGTACATATGTGTACAATTATCTAGAATATAAAACCCTCCTGCCCACCCGTTCCAACACACATACCCCAACCCAAAATAAAACAAAAAAGAAAGAAAGAATAAGGACAGAGTAAAAACTGAAAGAATCACAATACTTTGGTTATTTGAACAATATCCTTCAATAGAAACAACCTTGGCGCCAACCATTTCCAATAATGACCATAGCTTATTCTTAAATGTACTGCAAGATTACAAAAGCCATTAAGAACCAAAGAAAACTGAGAATTCTCCACTATTAATCATAGTACAGTTTGAAGGCAACCAAAGCTTTTAACGACATTGAGAAAGTAAAACACACGGCTTATGGTACAATGTTTCAATTGAAAATTAAAATGTTCTGTAATACTTGAAGGAAAACGAAAAAAAATTAGAGTCATGGGTGAGACTAAAGCTCAAAATTTCTCAAGTGACTGACCTTGTTTGTATTGGTTCCAATAGAAAAAGTGAATCCTCTCAAACAGTTTCTCGAGATTTGGGGTCAGCACCTTTGACTGATACTCCTTCCAGCATCAAGGTAGGAGCAAAACTGAAGGGGAGAGGAAAAAAAAACAGGAAGGTGTGCCTTATTTTATCACTTATCAAAGCAAGGTTCAATTATTTTGTACAAACACAAAAAAAAGTCCTACAAAGTTGAGGATAAAACAACGCTTACAAAACTGCAGCACGGAATTTCTGTGCATATATTCTTTTCTGCAAACAACCTATATGATTTTTGGTCATGAATTAATGATAAAACAAAATCAAACTATGAGCATACAAAATTGGTTCTATATGACACTGTATGTGAAGATCAAACAATGTAATTAAAATAGTCTTTTAATGAAAGCATAGACTTCGAAGTTTTTCTTGAGTAACTAACAGTTGGCATTTACATCAGCTAGATGATAAAAGAACATCAAAGAAGAATGGGAAAATATGAAGACTACATGTACAAGCAAGATCCCCAAGTACAAGAGCTGATACAATTACGAGTAAAGAACCCACCAAGACCATTCCTATTAGTTTAAGACCCATTCCATTAATAGTTCAACATAATTTCCTTTAACAAAATCAAATCACATAATGGTTATATATTTGGGAGCTAAAGATATCAAACATGCCTTGTCATCATCCCAAAATAGTAAAACCATGTCACTAACACAAAGTTTAGGCTATAAATCTCTTTTTACTAATCCAATCCACTTCTTTCAACCTTCATGTAAAATCCAATAGATGGGCAAGAATTTCCAAACATGACATAGACCGAAGTTAGTGCATTCAGATTGGCCATTTTTAAACAAGAACCCGATTATGGCACAACATGATAACACAGAAACAGACAGGTTTGGTTAGTGCTGAACCCGCATAACACAAAGTTTGAACATGGTCTACATGGACTACCCGTTTAATGAAAGACTAGTTACACATTTCAATTTATTTTCACTAACGGGTGCCATAACATGTTTAAATCCCTATGTAACCCTATCCAGTTGAATAAAAAAAAAAAAATGTAAAATACCGATTTGATGTCAAATAGAGTCTTTTTTATTTCCCTATTGAAATAAAATGATTTTTTCATTTAGTAATTTGGAGTCAAGGTTAATAAACAAAATTAGAAAATGAAAAATAGAGTTTGGTTTCTAAAATTTGGTGAATGGAGTAGAAGTTTATGAAATAATTTCAACAAGTGTAGATTTTAATTTCAAATGAAATTTACTTGTGGGGAAAACATTTAAATGTTTCCTACACTTGGCATTATTAATAAGGGTGAAATGTTTTTGACATGACACGTAATATGGCATGATTGGCACGAACCCAAAATAACATGACACAATAACACAAAGAAATAACCTAGAGTTAGGGTTGGAGGAGATTCTAACAAACGAATTCTGGGATGGCATGACACGATTCCCACCCTTACATGGAATCCATGTCAACAGTCATCATTGTCCAGCTTGCTGTTACAACC